ATGTAATGTAATGTAATGTAATGTAATGTAATGTAATGTAATGTAATGTAATGTATGTAATGTAATGTAATGTAATGTAATGTAATGTATGTAATGTATGTATGTATGTATGTATGTAATGTAATGTAATGTAATGTAATGTAATGTAATGTAATGTAATGTAATGTAATGTAATGTAAGTAAGTATGTATGTATGTATGTATGTATGTATGTATGTATGTATGTAATGTATGTACTGTACTGTGATGTAGTGTAGTGTAGTGTTATGTTATGTTATGTTATGTTGTGTATGTATGTATGTATGTATGTACGTATGTATGTATGTATGTATGTACACAGTGTGCAGTATATGTATATACACTGTATGTGTATATATACGTATATGTATTGTATATGTATTTAAAACTATAGACATACACATATGGAAGATCCACCAGGTCTGGTCTGTCTCAGAATCATGCTTTGTTGAGCCGAGATTTGGGTGGTACTTAGGCGGGTGCACTTCAGCGCACAAGTCACTGTGAGCTGCATCGAGAAGGTCCAGGTGAGGTTTGTGGGCAATAGCCCCTGGACTGTTGCCAGAATGTGTGTACAAGATTGTTCAACTACCGATTCTTAGAAGGAGTTACGAGAGAACTACTAGTGTCACATGTGTCCATTTGCCACATTTGACAAAGGACTGCACAGGGCAGGTAACATCAAGCATTCCTTGGTTCTGATCGGGCAGCAGGAGCTTGACTGCTCAACTGGCGACACTCGCAAGCCCTTTGGAAGAAGAACATTGGCACGTCTCTTGTCAAAATTGGACCAATGAGAAGTCATGAATGAGCCATGAGCAATTAGAAACCTGAAGCCTATTTGACTGTTTGATGGCCAAGGTTTTGTCTCTGTTAAAAGGGGCCCACTGAGCAATCAAGGTAAGGAAAAGCTGAGGGAGAAGCTGTGATAGCAATTGAGGCCTGCGTTCCCTTCTCAGCATCTTTGGTTGCCTGCATGTTCGACTGCGACCGGCCATTCTGCAGCACTCAGTGATCCTAGTGATCAAACGAGAGTAAGACGAGGCCTGTAAATGGTAGTTTTCTGACCTTGAACAGTGAGAGTTTGTGATTTACATAAATGTTGGTTCTCGCGGGGTCCTTGCGGATTTGGCTAATTGTACATTCTTTGTGACGCTGACCAGAAGTCTCATGTGCGCATCCAGGCAAAAAAATACGGACCAACCTGCAAAAACATGTTCTAGCTCAGCGGCACCAGTTCCATGAGAGTTTTCTCTTGCAGAACAATTGCATTTTGGTTCGAATCCAGCTATCACTGCACTGAAGCCACTGATTTTCAGTTTAAAAGGAACATCGTTCCATTTTTGGCTGAACGGTACCAGTTGTGTGCTGGTTGGCCAGATACCAAATGTTTTGCTCAGCTGGCGTTGCTGAGAAACGAAGAGAAGCAACAAAATGTGGAGCTAGGCAGTTTTCTGCTCCATCTCACATCAGTGCGCTCTTGTCAGAAGAGTCGACAACATAACTGGTACACAGCTGACGGACGCTGCCCTGCTCAACACTGTTGAAATGAAGACATCCACAACAGTGCAGTCTGCTCAGCGACGCGACACAACAGTGCAGTCTGCTCAACACTACGCGAGCATGCGTCCAAAGTGCATGGAATCAAGCCACCCATCTGGAAACGATAATGCCATGTAGATCCATTTTTTATTCGTCGCTACAAAGCTATGTGTTTCTGCCTCGTGCTGCCATGCACTGCGCTCAACGGCATTGAAGCTGCCCTGCTCAAAACAATGAAACTTTGGAGCTGCGATGCTGGAAAGCTGAAGTGATGTGCCAGACCAACAAAGTCAAAATCAGAATTAAAGTCTTGATTGAGCTTTACATTGATATGGTGTTTGCTTTGAAACCTCGTGAGGCAGAGCCTTGCTTGGTTGAGGCGGGGATGGCAATGGACAGTGCCAAAGAAGAGGTACTTTGCGCCATGCATCCTTTGGGCTTCGATTGCGAGTTCGCATGCAGGATGACCTGCGCCATGAAGTGCCATTAAACAGGCCGGGCAGAACTGATGTGGTTTTTGGCCTTTTGCAACAATGCTCGAACCTGCTCGAAGTGCTAGAGGTGCTTGAATACAGCTGCTTAGAGCCTTTGAGAACTCAACCTACTTTGGTGTCAAACTGTCTCTTCCATCTATGTCCTTTTCTCAACAAGAAGATGTGGAGAATAGCAGCTATAGGGTTCGTCCTAGTAGCCCCTAGGAGCGTCCTTTTCTCAACAAGAAGATGTGGAGAATAGCAGCTATAGCATTGCCAGCATTGCATATTGGTCTTTTCTTTGTTGATGTTGGCACCAGGAATGCACGGCTACGGACGCAGCGGCCTGACGTAAAGTCTTTAAGTTCATTCGCTGAAAGACAGTGTCCACCAATGTCAAGACACCGCAAAGGCATGTGGATTTGATGTTGGAGGCTTTCAACCTCAATGCTATCACAGAATATCACAGAATGCAGAGTGTGAAGCATACCGACACTTGTGTACCTAAGGAGTACCCCGGCAATTGAAGTTTGCTGGGACACCTTCATCAACCAGGCAGCCTGATGACTTGCCCTGTTCTAGCCAATCCTCCTAGGTCCTACTGCTTGCAATCCAATGTTTTACCATGTATTCCAACTTCCAACTGTTTCTTTGGCCTTCAGTTGTTTGGTCTTCCTAGAGTCTAGAGCTGGCAGCTGGTAGGGCCCGTTGGCTGGTCGCAACGTTAGAACTAGTTAGAACAGTTGAAAAGATCTTGAAAACAATGAAAATAACAAAGCAATAGTCCTTCAAGACTGTCATTCTAGAAAGCCTATTTACAACAGACATCATGGGTACAAGTACAAGCAAACAATCGCTGTGAAGCGAAGGGACAGTGCTCCACAGCGGGTTGCTTTTGGTGTCCTTCAGAAACCAAATAGTTTCTTGCTGGAAATCATTTGATTTGCTGGTGCTTGCAGGATACTCCCCGAGTCGTAATGGCTGATGGCTTTGGAACATGAGATGGAGTCAAACATTTACTGGTGCTTGCCGGAAATCGATGTGTTTGAAGAAAGCTGGGAGTAAACTTATGTTTGTGTTTCAAGATGGGGTAGCGTGTGTTCGCAAGGCTTTTGTTGCGCTTGGCAAAACGGATCTTGGAAAATTTGACAAGCAACGTGTGGGCATGGCCTTTTGTGCTGTTCTTAAATCTGCGATTGGCGAATCTGTCCTTATCACAGAGAGGCAGTGCAGCCTTCTGTGTATTTGTGAGTGTCAATTGTTCCTGATTCCCAGGTGACACAAGCTCTCACGCGTGTTTAACAGTTTAATCATACTCTTGATGTGGCATGGACTTCATGAGCTCGCATTCGCAGACACTTTCACAGGAAGCCAAAGCTGAAAGCTGGTTTCTTCCTGACATGAAAATGGAGCGCTTTGGCTCCTAAGGAATTGGCAACATTATCGTCTCAAAATGTACAGAACTGCCTTGTCTGGCATGAACTTGCATCTCAGAAGACAAGATTATTCTCGCAAAAGCCTGGCAAGTGTGCTTGATCCATGCAATTATCTATGCAAACTCTAATACTTCCTGAACTGGTCCAAGTGGTGTGATGGTTCAGCACTTGCCGCACGGAAACTTCACCGTGCCAACTTGAATTCATTGTACAGCCTCATGGACTTGGCAGGTGTGGACTAGCTGCAAGCACAGGCTTGTGAAAGGTTCGTCAAGACCTTCCAAGGCAATTGCTAGGCAGCCACCTCCAGCATGTCCTCGAAATTTCCCGTGTCGACATGATCCTATAGTTGGGCAGCTAGGCGTTGTGCTTGCAAGGCACCCACCCCCATCCTCGTCCATTGAAATCCAAACTGCATGAGCAGAGCAGCTGCAAAGATGAAGCTGAGAGCGACGACACGTCTTCTGCAGATGTTGTAAAAGGCAAAGCTCGGGTGTTGTATGGTGTTGTTGAAGTACTGTCGCGGAACGTGTCAATATCCTCAAGAAGGAAAGATGCCAAACCAAATCTACCACCCGACCTAAGTAGTATCGATTGATGCAGGCAGTCTCACAATCTGCACGGCACAAAGCTCCATGCATTTGTTGAAAGGATATTGAGGGGAAGTGTGTCGGTGCAGTCTAGCGGAAGATCCAGATTCAAGCCAACTGATGTCAGCGGCAACAAGAGCACTTGATCACACTTCAGTTTCACTTGGACGTCGTGCTAAGCGATTGCCAATTAATCCAAACTTTTGTACACAAGAGAACACGCTACTTGCTCAGTCACCGACCGGTTGTGTCAGTTCTAATCATCCTTAACGTGTTGTGCATCGACATTCTGAATTTCTTTCATGGGTCAGCTAGGATCTCCAGAAGTATTTCTGTACCCCCTATTTGTCTACCTTGTTTGTCGAACGACAATCTGAAAGTTTCAATATAAGCAGCTCCGAAAGCAGCAGGAAAGCCCTGGTTTAGTATATAAATGTTTTCACGCCACTGGAAACCACCAAAGTAAACCTTCTCGGTGTTTTGATGTTTGAATTTAGCAGTCCAACACCTGGTGGATGACCAGATGCTGTGCATCGCTCAATCTTTCCACCTCTTGAGGCCACAGCGGAGCCATGGAGCACCAGCCCAAGATGACATGAAAGACACTGGTATTGTTTCTAATAGCTTCTTGTTACTACTAGTAAGGCACTTGTTACTA